TGGTTTTTCTCCAGTACCGGGAACCGAACTCACGACCTTGCGCTTGCCAGGCAGGCGCTTTTGCCACTGAGCTAAATCCCCAGCCCCCTGGCCTGGTGATGTACAGGACGCTGAGGCAGGAGGATCATTGCAAGGCCAGCCTGGGCTACAAAGTGAGCTCAAGGCCAGACTGAACTGCATAGTAAGACCCTGTCTCAAAAAGACAAAAATTAAAAGTTAAAAGAGCTGGGGACGTATTTCAGTGTTAAGGCTGTGGGTTCAATCTCTAGTACAAAAATAAAGTAAATAAATCGGACTGGGGATGTAGCCCGGTAGTAGGGCATCTGTGTGGCATGTTCAAGGTGCTGGGTTTAATACCCAAGACTGAGACAACTAGGTTTACTCTCAGTTTTTTTTTGTTTTTGTTTTTGTTTTATAGCAAGAATCAAACTCAGGACCTTGCACGTGCCAAGCAGGTGCTCGTGCCAGTGAGCTATATCTGCGGCTGCCCTCAGTCTTTTGGGGTTAACAGACAAACTAACAGCCCAACTGGAAAAGTGATAGTTAAAAAAAAGCAAACCAGTCTTCAAGCCTATGAAATTAAGGGACACACCCCAAGACAGGAGGATGAAACGTACACTCAGCCTTCAAAGACTATGTATTCTGCATAGATATCAAGAAGCCAGAGCCAAGAAAAGATCATCAATACCAAATCCACTGATGGCCGGAGACTCGTGCAGTGGACTCCAATCTCCTACCCAGAGTTATGGCACATGGTAGGAAGAAAGCAGAAGATAAAATAGGTGTGTAGCAGAGATCTGGGGTGATCAGTTGTTCATGGGGAACAAAAGGCCATGGGACATCCGGAACCTTGGTATTTATTTATTCAGTGAGAAAAAGTGCGAGGGGATTGCGGCTGGATGTGCTAGACAAGTGGCAAGGCTGGCAAGGCTTATAACAGAGGAAACAAAGCATTCTTGCCGAAGGGACAGGAACAGCCAGATTTAGGTAATGGTTAACGAGTAATGTGCTTTGTAGCCAATTCTGGGAAGGAATTTTCCTCTGGAGTCATGCAGGCCTCAGCAGAGACATTATCTCATATTTTACCCCTATGGTATCACAGCTCATCTATCTGAGCTCAACCTTGGCTGTTGATAAACAATGCTAGCCCATCATCAGCTGCCTGCTTTCAGGAAAATTTGTACACAGTCTTGGCCAGACTCATTAATTAAACTGAAAGCCAGTTTAGGGAAGTCACCTCTACACAGCCTGCATGGCTTGTAAGTGAGTCTGGGGGGAGGATGACACAGTGGCCCTCCACAGGCCAAGTGTGGTGCTGCACACCTGTAAGAGGCTGAGGCAAGGGGATCACGTAAGTTCAAGGACTACACAGTGAGTTCCAAGACCAGCCCGAACTACATAGCAAGACCCTGTCTCAAAAAACAAACAAAAAACCCCCTTAAACAATAAAAGTCTTGTTCCTGTGCCAAGGTGCTTCTGATTCTTCTGAAAGAAAGCACAGTAAAAATGCAGCTGATAACAGAATGGAAAGGTAGATATATACATGGAGAGAGAGGGAGACTTAGAGGAGAGAGGAGAGAGAGAGAAGAGCCGCCCAGTACTCGGGAGGCTGAGGCAAAAGGATCCTTGAGAGTTTGAGATCAGCCTGGACTACATAGTGAGTTCAAAATCAGGCTGGACTACATAGCAAGACCCAAAAACAAAACAACAAAAAGGAAAAATTCCAAACAAACAAAAAAAAAGATGGCGTTCATTCAGGGGGATTTGTGTGTGTGTGTGTGTATACATGTGTTTCTGGGATTAAATCCAGGGCCTTTATACTGAGCTAGGTACATCTCTGATGCTTTTTACAATTCTTTTTTTTTTTTTTTTTTTTTTTTTTTGGTACTGGGAATTGAACTCACAATCTTGTGCTTGCCAGGAAGGTGCTGTGCCACTGAACTATATCCCTGGACTCCTTTTTACAATTTTTTGAAGAAGATTCCTAAGATTGCTAAGTTGCCCAGTTTGGGCTCAAATCCACGATCTTACTGCCTCAGTCTTCCAAAGTGCTAATGCTGTCAGGTAGTTCCTTTAGAAATGGTTCACCAATTAAAAGTATTACAGGTCTTTCTTGCCTCCAACAAATAATTGGATGAGACAAGCCAAAAATGGTGCCAAAAATTTATTTGAAAAGTAAGGGGTGAAGGGGTAAGGGAAAAAATTGGCTTTGCAGTGTGAACCTGCGCCAAACAAAAGAGAGAAAAGGATAAAAAGCAAACACAAAAGCATACTCTGTGTGGAGTACCATGAAGAGTCACAGTAACAGGTTCCCAGTGGTGTTTGTGTCCTCATATGTCATCCACATCTCATGGGAACCCAGGAGAAATTCCACAGAGGGGTCCTGGGAATCATTTGGTGCTGTCCTGGGATCTTGTAATAGACAGGTCCTCTTTATTTTTCCAGCCAGCTTTGCCCACATCCCACCTCCTATATCACTGAGATTATAGGCATGCTCCACTACGTCAACACAAGAGGACATTTTGATGGCACCATGCTGGATGCTAAGGAAGCAGCCTGCTTTCTGGGCCTTCCCGGGCCAGGCATAGTGGAAATATAGCAGAAAAACCAAAATCCATCCAAATGGAAGACTTTGCACTGAGAAGGCAACTTTTATTACGCTAGCAGGCTGGGGAAGCCAGAGGTTCAAATCACCAGCCCAGAGTCAGGTGTGAGCTCAGTTTAAATATGGCTTGCACGTGGGAAGTACAAAGCTGATAACAGGTTATTACATGATTGGTTACGTGGAATACAAGAATTAGGTCATATATTGTCAGGCAGGTTTGTACTGGAACATTCTGGGAGGAACAGGGTCTGAGAAGAATAGGCAGGGTTGAAAGTGTCCTTGACTGGGCCAGTCTTCCCCCAAACACGACGGCCTTGACAACCTTGAAGCAAGTTGGAATCACTGTGTATTTTAAACACACACACACACACACACACACACACACACACACACACACGCAAACCAAAAAACACAACAAGCCGGACACAGTCAGTTTGACCCACACAATGTTAAGGGGGAACATCTGGGGCTAGACAGTCAAGGCTAGCTACATGACAGGGAGCATGAGCATAGTCACAGGCTATGAACTGATCTCTAACTTTTGTTATAACATGCCTACAAGTCTGCTATCCTGTTAAGTGTGCCCTAACAGAGCAGGCATAGGTTGCACTCCTGGGAGCACAGAAAGGACATCTGATTTGCAGGAGGGGGCCACAGAGGCTTTAAGGGACAATTCTTTAGTGGAGATTTAAACTTGGGGAATTCTGCTAGGAAGAAATGGGAAGGGCTTCCCTAGTAAAAAGCACGGCTTGAAGGAGGGAGCTGAAGGAAGAAACAAGGCGGGGTGGGCAGAGCTGCAAGCAGTTTGGGGAGGGGTGGACTGTGACAAGACTGGGAAGGAGCGTTCCAGAACTTTGTCACACACGGAGGAGCCACGGAAGGAGGCCCTGAAGCTGAAGTGGGATAAACTGGGCTGTAATTTATCCAAGAAAGAGCCGGGAGTGAGGCAGGAGGATCGTTGCGAGTTCGAGACCAGCCTAAGCTACAAAGTGAGCTCAAGGCCAACCTGAGCTGCAGAGAGACCCTGTCTCAAAAACACCAAAAAAAAAAAAAAAAAAAAAAAAATTATCCAAGAGTCATGGTCCACTCTCTAGGACATGAAGAGTTAAAAGGAGGCAGGACCAAGGTCTAGTAACCGGAGCAGTGCATCAGGTGCCCTCTGATGCACTATATTCTTTCCACAAGTATCCCTCAGAACCTCTGTTTTTGCATCAGATATGTGGACGGAGGCAAGTAGGGTGCAAAGAATATGCAAAGAATATGTACCACAGAGTGCCGCGCCAAGAAGCTGACTCCCCGCACGGGGTGTGGCCGGTCAGGCGGTGACGTGGCCGTGGAGATTCCCGAAGAAAGAGCCGCACGGCGCGCAAAAGCGCCAAGCACCGTGTACGCATGCGCCTAGCTAGACACAGTCGTTCTGCGCGCGCGCGCCAAAGGACCCCCGGGATACGCATGCGCCATTGGTTGGCGGGTGTTTTGCAAATGGCGGCGTTGGTGTGTACCGTGCAGTGCGTACTAGGCTGACTCCTGAGAGGCCCCATAGGTCCACAGGAGGTGCAGTGGGTGACCTGGGACTTTGCGTTTCTGGAACAGAGGCTCTGGTCTGAACCGGCGTCGCTCTGAGGTCAGGAAGTCGCGCATTCCTGGCAGGATGTGGTTCCACTCGTCCCCTTACCAGTCTCTTGGCCTAGCCCAACCCACCGCGTCGGCAGCTCCCGACTGCGGGCGCTCGGGGCCGGGTGGGGGTGAGAGTAGGGGTGGGGGCCGGCGACCTTCTCCCACCCGGAGTGGGAAGGAACCTGAGTTGAGCCAAACCTCCCCCTCGGGCGGAGTCGAAAAAAGAGGCGCGGGGTGTGTGTAGCTGGGTGTTTTTCTCCCCTCTGAATCTCAGGCCCTTTGCAGAGTGCAGTGTGTAATAGTGCTTAGAGTTGTGAAAAGGATTAAACGGGATAAGAATGTGAATAAAACGCTTAAATGGCACAGGTCTTGGGGGATAAGCGCTTACATGACAATTTTGCAGTTATTATCCAAGCTTGAAGCTATGTTACGGTCGTACCGATTGTGGGGATTTATATACTCGAAGGACCCTTCGTTCTTTTTCCTTTCATTGTTGTCGGTAAAGATCTGTTCATTTCTCCTTATTAAGCACCCTCACAATGTAAGGTGTCTGCTGGGAGGGGGAGGGAGATAGTATGGAAATGAAAATGACTTGGCTGTGTCCCTACCCTCTTCAAGTTATCTGACAGGGGGCTGGGTATATAGCTCAGTGGCATAAGCGCCGGTCCGGCAAGTGCAAGGTCGTGAGTTCAATCCCTGGTACCGGAAAAAAAAAAAAAAAAAAAAAATCTGACAGCCCTGGGAATACAAATGCAGTCTGCCTGGGAGACGGCTATGTAAACAGATTTTACAGCTAGTACTAGGGTGTGCAAGGGGTGTGACCACCAAACCTGACAAAGAGAAGTATTTAAGCTAGGTTAGGGAGGATGCATATGTTTTACAGGTTAAAGGACAGATGTGTACAAAGGTTCAGAAGTGGTATGGAGAATATAAGTGGCAGGAGGGAGCCTGAATTGGGACCCTGGTACTCCCTCAGGAAAGTGTTGAATACCGTTGGGAAAAACCTCTGCAGCTGTCTAGAGCACGGATTGAACTGGCGCAGTGTTTTATACGGAAAAACCAGTAGAGGGTGATTATGGGGCCAGGAGAGAGCAGAAATTATCAAACATCAACTAACCTATGAATAGTGGGAAGGGAAGACAGACTGAGAGAGACTTGGTAGAACAGATAGGATTTGGGGTTGGAAGAGATAAGCATAAGAAATTAAGAATAACATTTCTAGTATAAAACCAAATACGTCCTCATACCAACTGCATTAGGGAATGAGGGAATAGTTAAGTACAAAATAATTGGGAGAGAGAGTATGTGTTAAGGGAGATAGTATTTCCAGCAGTGAGTTCTGTAGAAAATCAGAATAGGGGGCAATGACCCCTGCTACAGTCTTTGTGGAGGAGAGAAAACAATTTAGAAAGACTGGAAAGCACAGAGGCTGTTCTGGGAGAGTTACACCCCAAGGAGGCTAGAGCTGATACATGAAGAACAGATCTCTTTATTTTTCTATTTTCAGAGTTTTCTACCCAGGATGACTTCCGTCACCAAACAGAATGTAGAAGGTGAGTATTACAGTGAAATTCAGTACCTCTTGAGTTCAGTCTTATGAGTTGCAACTAAATCCTTTCCTGGCTCTGGTGGATTTGAAATGACAAACTCATGTATTTACAAAAATACGCTCTTGGTGTTTCTTTCTTCCTTCCTTTTCTCCTTTCTTTCGATGGGATCTTGCTTCCTCTGTTGCACAGGCTGGCCTCAGACTCCTGGGCTCAATCCATTTTCCTGTCTCAGGCTCCCAGGAAGCTGAGATTACAGGTGCACGCCACTTTGTGGGGATTTAACTTTTTTCTCTGTTTTTTTTTTTTTTGGTAGGACTGTGGACTGAACCTAGGGCCTCACAAATGTTAGGCAAGTGCTGTGTCACTGGGCTACATTTCCTGCCCTTTATCCATCTTTTTGCTTAGATACTTAGTTGTGGGTTTGATTTTGTATTTTGACTTTTTTTATAACAAATGCCAGAAGAAGAATCAGTGACTTCTAAGACTCGTGATCATCAGTTGCAATCAAGTCTCCACCCTGTGGAAGTGTTTACTAAATCATCTGCCCCCCTGGAGATGACTCAGAGCATTGCAAAGGAAAAAATTCATCTTACCTCCACCCCTGAAAGAGGAGGACATTGTGATGTCAGCCACCAGGAAGGACTTCAATCCAGGTCCCTTCATTTGTCCCCTCAAGAATATCCTGTCCATGATCAAGGCAGGAGGCAGTCCTGGCGGCGGGCAAGTATGAAAGAAATAAACCGACGGAAGTCACTGCCACCTTTTCATCAGGGCATCACAGGTGGGGTGCTATATATGTAAGACAGGTTTCAGCTTGCATGTAAGAGGCAGTGAGGAATGACAGCAAGTGTAGTGGAATAGGTGTGACTGCTGTTTTCTATCTATGTGACTGAGCAGATCTCTTCACCGCTTGGATCCTCAGCTTCTTCATCTGTAAAATGGAGAGAGTATTACTGATCACATGGGGGTATTCTGCATTTATAGTTCTGATATCACACACCTACTGTTTAGTATTATTCCTTTTGCATCATATTAGCTGCTATGAAAAGAAATTCAGATTGCTAATTGTTCAACACTCAACCCTGGCTAGTATAATAAGCATTTAAGAGTCCTCCCATGGCTTTCTGCCCATACCCTAAGGTGGAACAGAAAGTGGATAGGTTAATAGCTGATTTTAGCCTTTGGCTTTGTGTGTGTGTGTGTGTGTGTGCACGCGTGCGCATGCCCACGTGCATGATTCTAGGAAAGTCTTCGTAATTGGAAATAACTCAGGGAAGTTGAACATGAAAGTATCTAGAGTGGAGGAGTTGGAGGTGCTGCTAAGTGGAGGAGTGTGTGTTTAGTATGTGTGATGCCCTAAATTCAGTCTCCAATACCAAAACAACATCCCGAAAAACCTAGCATGAAACATAGGGTTTTGTTTTGTCTTTTCGTAGTATTGGGAATTGAGCCCCAGGTCTTCATAATGAGCTACAGCACCAGCCCTTCTTTATTTATTATTTTGAGACAGGATCTCACTGAGTCACTAAGTTGTCCAGGCTGGGCTCAAACTTGTGGTCTCCTTGCTTCAGACTCCTAGAGTGCCAGGCTTACAGGTGTATGCCATCACACCTGGCTGAAAATGCAGTTTTTAGGGATATCATACGTAAATGTGATTTGTTTTTTGTTTTTTTTTGAAATAGGGTCTTGCTGGCCTTGAACTCATGACACTGTGTCTGGCCCTTGATTTGGTATGATTTTGTGCAGATTTACACTCATAACTATATCTTAGTATCAAAGTACAGTATATAATGTGGGAAATCTAGTGTGATCCTCAGCAGGTTACATAACTGGAAGTGAAAAAATACCTGTTTTATTTTTTATTTATTTTTATTTATTTATTTTTTATTTTTTGTCTTTTTGAGACAGGGTCTTGATATGCAGTTTAGGCTGGCCTTGAGCTCATTTTGTAGCCCAGGTTAGTCTCGAACTCACAACAATGCCCCTGCCTCAGCCTCGTGAGTGCTGGGATTACAGGCGTGTGCCATCACGCCCGGCAAGAATACCTGTTTTAGTAAGATTGTGTGAGGATTAAATGAGTTGATATGTAATATAATGTGTGTACGTAGCACATAGTAAATCCTCAAATGTTAAGTTATTGTGACTATTTTAAGTATTATTGTACTTTTAGGTGGTCTGATGTGTAGAAGGTAGCCTGGGTAAAACAAGCCACTTAGCATATCAGAAAATTTCTGCCACAGTGCCAAGATCTGCCAAGAAATCAGTAGTAGTTTCCCAAGATTAGCCCTTCCTTCATCTCTATTCCAGAGCATTTTTATAACAACTCAGTGTAATAAGATGGACTATTTTTGCTGGGTGTGACAACACATGCCTGTAATCCCAACACTCAGGACGATGAGTCGGGAGGATCACTGTGAGTTTTAAGCCAGCCTGGGCTAAATAATGAGTTCAAGGCCAGCCTTGAACTCTTAACATAGCAAGACCCTGCCTCAAAAAGAAAAGATTGTTTATGTTTCCATTATTCCTGGCCACCTGCCAAGTTTTACTTGTTGTAGGCAGGCAGAATCCTGTTTTTCTTGACTGAGAGCAAAAATCAAGAGAGGAGACAAGAACTTTAGAAACATAGCGAGTAGAAGCTGGAGATCAAAAAGAGAGATAGGTCTAATAATTCTAAAAGCAAACCTCCTTTGCTGGATAATAATTGCTTTAAAAACAGACCTAATTAAAAAACACTATCTACATCTTGTATGAGGATTTAGTGGGATAATTATATAAAATGCTCACCCAGTTCAGCCTTGTTGTTCACTGAATGATACTGAGCAAGCGATCTGTTGCTCAGCATTTGCTTCTTATTGTCATCTGTCATCAAATGAAATTGATATGATACTTGCCTCAAAGTGTGTATAGAATTTATGAAAATGCCTTTTACAGAGTAAGCGTTCAACAGGCATTAGCTGTGTTAATTAGGTCACTACAGAGAGGCAAAAACACTGGGAAAAACTGATCTTGGTGGCAGACATGGGTTTGAATCATGAGTTCTCCAGTCTCTGGCTCCAAACAAGTCATTAAAATGGAGCTTAATAGAATTTTTTAAAAAACTTTTTAAGACAATGTTTTAAACATACACAGTAGTACCTCTCAAAAATTTTCAAAGGTTTTTAGCTCCTTGCTTTAGTGAATAAGAATCAAAAGCAATTGAATCATTTTTTAATCTACCTTGTTTAACAAAACTAGATTTTTGCGAGGTGTGGTGGTGCACGCCTGTAATCTCAGCACTCTCTAAGCTGAGGCCGAAGGATCACTGCAAGTTCGAGGCCAGCCTGGACTACGAAGTGAGTTCAAGGCCAGCCTAAACTGTATAGTGAAACCCTGTCTCAAAACAAAAACAAAAACAAAAACAAAAACAAAAAAACCCTCCAAGGTTTAATGTAATGTGTAAAAAAGGTTCTCATAGCATTACATTTAGATGCTTAAATACGTCAATATTCCTTGGTGATCCTGGAAAAATTAAAATGTTCCCTTTAATTAGAAAAGGCTAGGCTGGAGTTACAGCTCTGCAGCACCACACCTGCCTGGCAAGCTGACTTTGAGTTTGATTCCTGGTACCAAAAAAAAAAAAAGAGAGAGAAAAGAAAAGAAAAGGCTGTTTCTTGCCTCAAGTTGGATTACATCAAGAGAAAAAATTTCCGTTTGTTACTTTGCTGAATAAGTAATCAGTTCCTAACATGGGATAATATCTTATGTTAGAGCTCAGCAGGTCCATCAGTGTCGACTTGGCAGAAAAGAAGCGGCTTGGAGCTCTCCTGCTTTCCAGTTTCCAGGTGAGATTCTCAAGATTGGAAGATGCTTTCATTTTATTTACTTGATATTTTTATTGTTAATGTAGCAAATTTAAAGAAGTATTAATACTATGTGATGAATTCATTAAAAAAATGTTTCTTGGGGGGCTGTGCATGCGTATAATCCCAGCACTTGGGAGGCTGAGGCAGGAGGATCACTGCAAGTTTGAGGCCAGGCTGGGCTCTGTAGTGAGTTCAAGGTAGTCTGAACTACACAGTGAGACCCTGTCTCGAAAGAAAAAAAAGTTACTTTCAGACTGAGATTAATTTAAAAGCTAGATTTAATCTGAGTTGTCTCTTTAGACTAGTCCCATTATTGCTAACTGAGCTGCTAATATTTCCCCGGTATATTTGCCCATTTATAGCAAGTAATGGGAACTTAAAGTGAGTAAAGGTAAAAAACCTGAATTACTGTATCATAGGTAAGTATTTGAATTCTGATTATAGACTAAGCCAATATATGATTCATATTACACAGTTTTTCTTGAGCTGGGCGTGGTGGCACATGCCTGTAATCCCAGCACTCAGCAGGCTGAGGCAGGAGGATCGTTGGGAGTTCAAGACCAGCCTGGGCTACAAAGTGAGCTCAAGGCCAGTCTGAACTGCATAGCGAGACCCTGTCTCAAAACGACCAAAAATAAATAAATAAATAAAAATATTATACAATTTTTCTTAAAGTTATATTGCTTATTGTATAGTTCACTGGTGCTTTTTTCAGTTTAGATAAACAAGTTATTTGTGTGAATTAAATGACCATTTTTTTCATCAGTGAAAAATCAAAATGTATATAGTCTGAGCAACAGTGAGTGTTTTTTCCTGAACTAGTTATTTATATGAAAATTCTTAGGTAACACTGGGTATGGTGGCCCATGCCTGTAATCCTAGCAGTTGGGAGTCTGAGGCAGGTAGATCTTGAGATTGAGGCCCACCTTGACTACATAGCAAGTTCAAAGCCAGTGTGGACAACATAATGAGGTCCTGCCCCAAAAAGAAAAAAAAGTCATAGGTAAAAAAATTAAATCATGTTATAGTTTCACTGTTTGCTTGCTTGTGTATGCCATACTGGAGATTTGAACCCAGGGCCTTTGCACTGCGCTATATCCCTAGGCTTTTTATTATTTATTTTGAGACAGGGTCTCACTAAATTGTTCAGGCTGACTTGAATTTAGAATCCTCTCTGCCTCAGAGTGCTAGGATTATGGGCATGTACCTTGCCCAGTTTAATTAAATTAAATTTTAATTTTTCTTTTTTGGTACTGGGAATCGAACTCAACCTCACACTTACCAGGCAGGCACTGTGCCACTGAGCTACATTCCCAGCCCTAATTTTACATTTATTAAATGTAAAATTGCATGAATTTAGGACTGGCTTGGAAAATTTGGGTTGTTGTACTAAAAATGCTTTTTTTAAATTTAGTTCTCAGTTCAGAAACTTGAACCTTTCCTAAAGGACACTCGGGGCTTCAGTCTTGAAAGTTTTAGAGCAAAAGGTAAGTCGCTAAGAATAGATGAGTGAGCTTTGGCTCTGACTTATACCCTCTTTTAGGTTCATCAAAGCCTCATTATCAGGGTCAACATTTACAGGAGCTGATGCCTCATAAAACTCGCCCCTCTTCCCCTTAAAGATGTATTTAAAAATATAAGAACTAGGCATGGTGGCACATGCCTGTAATCATAGTACTTGGGAGTATGCCTGTAATCCTAGTATGTGTGTGTGTGTGTGTGTGTTTGTGTGTGTGTTTATGAAGCTCAGAAGATATGAAAGTGAAAAGTAATCCTTCTGCCCCAACCCATAGTCTGGGCAGAGGCAACTTTGTAGGCACCAATCCCCAAAGGCAACTACAGGTAGCAGTTTCTTGTATATCCTTGCAAAGATACTGCTTTTCCAAATATGAGTACATATTCTGTGAACTGTTTTATACCTTCACTTATACCTGCCTTTGGTGCTGGAGATCAAACCCAGGATCTCAGGCATGTCATGCAATTGTTCTACCACTCAGGTACACCCTTAGTCCAACCTTGGCTTTTTCTTCTTTTTTTTTTTTTGGTACTGGAAATCAAACTCAGGACCTTGCTTTTGCCAGGCAGACGCTTATGCCGCTGAGCTATATCCCCGGCCCTTGACTTTTTCTTCTGGAGCTAATACATCTTTCACCTTGTTCAGTGTCACACATAGGGAGCTACCTTGACATTTTGGTAGCTATACTATATCCCATTATATAAATGAACCATGTTTGATTTAATTAGTTCTTTGCTGATGGACTTACGGGATTTTGTTTTGTTTTGTTTTTTGTGGGTTTTCTTGTTTTCTTTTCTTTTTTTTTTTTTTGCCTTTTGCTACTATAATGAATACTTTTTTTTTTTTGAGGCAGGATCTTGCTATATAGTTCACGCTGGCCTCAAATTCATATAATAGTCCTGCCTTAGTCACCTGAGTGCTGAGGTTATAGGCATAAAGCACCAATCCCATCTGAATATTTTTACACATCCTTTTTGGTATATATGCAGGTAAAAGTAGAATTAACTAACTCAAATAAAATGATAGGAATTGCTAGGTTACCTTCCTAAGACAGTCAGTTTATTCTTTCCCCAGCAGTGTGTGTAACTATTTATTTTTTCATAATCTCAGCAACACATTTCATTAAAGTTTGAGGAGGAGTAGTGGCATTCGATCTTCTCTAATTTCTTGTAGAATTCAGGAGTGAATCCATCAGGACTTGGGCTTTTCTTTGTTAGTAGCTTTTTAATTACTTCTTCAATTTCATTTTCTGATACTGGGTTCTTTAGAATTTTTATATCTTCTTGATTCAACTTTAGTAATTCATAGGTATCTAGGAATCTGTCCATTTCTTCTGCACTTTCCATTTTATTAAAGTACAGCTTCTTGAAGCAGGTTTGTCTTCTGGATTTCTTCAGGATTCATTTTGATTCACTTTTCATCCCTAATTGCATAGATTTGAGTTTTTTTTTCCTTTTTTTGATAATGTTGGCTAAAGGTTTGTCTTATTTAGTCTTTCAGAGAACCAACTCTTCAATTCATTGATTCTTTATATTGTTTTTTTTAGTTTCAGTTGCATTAATTTTGGCTCTGATTTTTGTAATTTCTTCTCTCTTTCCTGCTTTGAGTTTAACTCATACTTTTTTTTGTTTTGTTTTTTTCCGGTACTGGGAATTGAACTCACGACCTCACGCTTGCCAGGCAGGCGCTGTGCCGCTAAGCTAAATCCCCAGCCCCATAACTTACTCTTTTTTTGTTAGGAGCTTGAGGTTCATTAGGTTATTTATTTGAGCTTGTTCTGTTTTTCTAATGTAGGAATTCTCCACTATAAATTTCCCTTGTAGGACTGCATTCATTATGTTCCATAAGTTCTGGTATATTGTATTGGCATTATCATTTAATTGTAGAAACTGTCTTTATTTCTTTTTTAATTTTATCTGCAACCCATTGGTTGTTCAGGAGGGTCTTACTTAATTTCTATGTGTTTATGAAGTTTTTGTGGTTTCTTTTGCCATTGATTTCCAGTTTCATTGCACTATGATAATATGAATGGGATGATTTGAATTTCTTTGCTGGAACTTAAGCATGTTCTATGGGGCCGTATGTGGTCTATTTTGGAGAAAGTACCACATGCAGCTGAGAAGAATATATATTCTGTTGTGGGGTTGAAGATTAGATGTTTACTAGGATCCATTTGTTCAAAGATTTGGTTCAGCTATGATATTTCTTTGTTGACTTTTTTGTCTAGTGGATCTGTCTATTTGTGACAGTGGGGTGCTGAGGTCTCCCATTACAATTTCATTAGTGCTTCTTCGGTTTTTCATATCCATTAGTGTTTTGTTTTTTGTTTGTTCTGTCTTTATGAGACAGGGTATCACTGTGCGGCTCAGCTTGGTCTTAAACTCACTTTGCAGCGCAGGTCAGCCTTGAACTCACAACAATCCTCTTGCCTCAGCCTCATGAGTGCTGAGATAGTATTTGTTTTATATACTTGGGTGTGGTGGTATTTGGTGCATATATATTTATGATTATTATCTCTTCTTGGATTGTTCCCTTATCAAGTATGTAGTGACTTTCTTTGTCTCTTCTGGTCAATCTTGGCTTGAAATTCACTTTGTCTGCAGGTAGAGTAGCTGTACCTGCTTTTTTCTGGGTTCCTGTTGCATGGAATATTGTTTTCCCATTCTTTAACTTTCACTCCATGAATTTCTTTTTGAGTTAAATGTGTTTTTTGTGTGCACTATATTTGTTGGACCTTTTTTTTTTGTTTTTTTTTGGACTTTGTTTCTAGATCCATTCTGCCAATCTGCTTCTTTTCATTGGTGAATTGAGACTATTTACATTGATGGTTACAAGTGATATGTATTGGCTTATCTTTGTCATGTTATTTTCCTGTTGCTGGTTCCCTTTCTTTCCTGTTTTTTTTTTTTGTGTGTGGTTTTTTTTGAAACAGGGTTTTGATATGCAGTTCAGGCTGGCCTTGAGCCTTGTAGCCCAGGCTGATGTCAGACTTGCAGAGATCCTCCTGCCTTAGCCTCCTGAGTGCTGGGAGTGCTGGGATTACAGGCATGCACCACCATGCCCAGTTTCCCCTCTGTTTAATTACTTGCCTTACCTGGTAGATTCATTATATTGGGATTCATGGAATTGTTGATTCATTATATTGGGATTCATGGAATTGTTGTCTTTGTCGTCTTTTTCTAAAATACCCTTGCAAACATTTTGGAGTGCTTGTTTGGTGGTTGAGTTTTTTCAGGTGTTTTTTGTCATAGAAGTATCTTATTTCTCCATCATTTTGTTTTGTTTTTTTTGTTTTGTTTTTTGAGACAGGGTCTTGATAGGTAGTTCAGGCTGAGCTTGAGCTCACTGTGTAGCCCAGCCTCCCCCTTGAACTCTCAGTGATCCTCCTGCCTCAGCTTCCCGGGTACTGGGGTTACAGGCATGTGCCACTATGTTCAGCTCTCCATCAATTTTGAAAGATAATTTTGTGGGGTACATCAGTCTGGGTTGGAGGTTTTTTATTTTAGTGCTTGAAATACTTCACTCCAAGCTCTCCTTAAGAGTTTATGTTGACTTTTAGCAAGTTTCATCAAACTTCTAGATTTTCTTATTATTTGATAGATGATAGAAGGTATTATGTAGTTTTTATATATGTTCTTTTTTTCTTTTGGAGAAGATAGGAATGTTTTATGTTTTCATACTTCTTTCTCCTTTCTTTCTTTCTTTTCTTTTTTTTTTTTGGTTTTTCTCTGGTACCGGAAATCGAACTCATGACCTTGCACTTGCCAGGCAGGCACTGTCCTTTCTTTCTTTCTTTTTCTTGCCTTTCTTTCTCTCTGTCTCTTTCTTTCTTTTTCTTTTTTTTAGATTAGATACTGGGAATTTAACCCAGGACCTTCACACTGAGCTACATCCCCAGGTCTTGCTAAGGTACTAAATTGTTCAAGCTTGGCTCAAAGTTGTGATCCTCCTGCCTCAGCCTCCAAGAGTGCTGAGACTGTAAGCATGCACCTTAACTTCCACCTTTTATACTTTTGTATAAAAGAAGCCATTTGTACTTGCTTTTCTGTGCGTTGTCTACTTGTATCCTTTGTTCATTTTATTTTATTTGGGGTGGGGTTGAGACAGGGCCTCACTCTGTAGTTCAGGGTGGCCTTGAACTCACTGTGTAGCCTGAGCTGGCCTCAAACTTGCTGCAGTCGTGCGTCAGCCTCTAGGGTGCTGGGATTATAGGTGTGTGCCACCATGCCCAGCCCTTTTTCTCAAAAAAAAAAAAAAAAAAACAAAAACAAAATCTAGGATGTTTGCTCTTTTGTATTGCTTTATAGGAACTTTTTATGCAGTATGGAAATAGCTATTTCTCTGATATGTAATAAATATGTTTGTTTGTTTTTTGAGGCAGTGTTTCACTACATAGTTCAGGCTGACCTTTGAACTCACTATATAGCCCAGGCTGGCCTTGAACTCACAGTGATCTGAATGCTGGGATCACAGGTGTGCACTACCACAACCATCTACAAATATTATTTGAACTTTCTAGGAAGCAGCTATTCTTCTGATAGCATAACTGCACAATCATCCTGATCAGATATACTTCCTGATTAGCCACTTTAAAAGCCCAGAAAATACATGAACCCAGACTTACTTGCCAGCTGAAATTGTTGAGCTCAGAGTTGCACCACAATTAGAATAGATGATACAAGAGTTATCTTGATAAGTAATTAACATTGCCTCTTGGCTTTTTTTTTTTTTTTTTTATCTTAATGTAATAGTGGTTTCTTCCAAATCTTATCAGAGGCCATATTTTATTGAATGTCCACATAACTTTTATTTGCTGTCACTGTTGCCTGACTTATAAATGTCTTCACTTCTAGTGCCTCTAATTTATATCTCTTGAAAAAAGAGAAAAATAATTAACAGTACAGATACACTTTTTAAAGTAGTACTTTTTTTACTAACCAAGTAGAAAAACACCTATAAATGTCATAAAGAAGTGTTGTCATCCATTTTATCTATATGAGGTAAAAGATAAAATCTTCCTTCCTAAAAAACTTTCTGCATACTTAACATATTCCCATTGGCTTGAACTGTCAGTGGTACATGCATGGTTGTCCCATCAGATGGCTTGTACCACTCAATGGTACACCAGTGGTTCAGAGCCCCGACAGTGAGACATATATATTACGGCCCCATCTTGAATGTGTTAAACCATCTTTTTGGGTGAGTGAGAGGGGCAGAATGTAACAGGAGATCCTAAACCTGAGAACTCTTAAGCATCTGTCAATTTTTTGTTTTGTTTTGTTTTTCTTTTTGGTACCGGGAATCAAACTCAGGACCTTGCACTTGGCAGGCAGGCACTTATGCCACTGAGCTATATCCCTGGCCCCTTACTCATCTTCATAGGTAGCTAATTGTGAAAATTTATATCTTCCTTATTCTGTAACATGAATTTATTCTCTCTAGCATCTTTTCTTTCTGAAGAGTTGGAGCATTTTGTAGACAGCCTGGAAAAAGATGGAACTCTACAAAAATGTTTTGAAGATTCAAAAGAGTAAGAGCATTTTTTCTATTCTAAATTAGAGCTGAATTAAGACTTTTCACTATAATTATGTAGTTGTTCATTTATTGAACAAATATTTCCCTAGCATTTTCTTATGGGTCTTTTAGATGTTGGGATTATATTGAAAAACAAGGTAAACAATACTGCTCTTGTCATATACTGTAATAGAGACAATCAAACACACAGAAAATATGATTTCAGATAGTGATAATCTAGGAAGTCAACAAAAACGACAGTGATTTGAGGGTGTAGGTAACTTTATCAAGAATGTTCCGAAATCGCTCGTGATTTGTCCTTTGGATTCAGATGTGAATGGTTAAGAAGGAACGAGCCATGAAAAGGTGAGGGGAAAGCATAATTGAGGTCTTTGCTAACTGTGCATGTTTCTTGGCTCTTGGCAAGCAAGAATATTAGCAGAAATTTTAAATCTCACCCCCAGGTTGGTAGGTCCTCAGATGTGAGGCTATCACTAGCTCCCTAGTTTTGCCCTATAGCAAAGCATGTACTTGGATTTACATTAACAATTTTAAGTTTGGCCTTCATGAAGTTTACTGTCCCACAGTTCCTTAGGAGTGTCATTTCTAATCAGAAAGTAAAACATTTCAGATTCATTAACATAGCATCTCTTTTAATGTAGTATATTTAGGAATAGGCTGCTACATCTCACAGATGGATAGATGGTGAAGGCTGTGTAGGGGCTGGGGATTTAGCTCAGCAGCAAAAGCGCCTGCCTGGCAAGCGCAAGGTTGTGAGTTCGGTTTCCGGTACCAGAGAAAAACCAAAAAAAAAAAAAAAAAAAAAGGCTGTGTCATAGGCCTTGGTAGAAAAAGTAATGGTGGCACTACTGATTCTTTTTACCATATACAGTACCAAGTAGATCTGTAATACTTTGACATTTTCAGTACTTCTTTTTTTTTTTTTTTTTGAGACAGGGTCTCATCATATAGTCCTGGCAGGCCACAAACTTGTGGCAATCCTCCTGCCTCAGCTTCCTTAGTGCTGAGATCACAGGTGTGCACCACTGTGCCCAGCACTACTTGATTCTATTCTGTCAGAATTAATCACCCAACTGAACTAAGCTGTTAGATAGCAGTAGCAATCAAAGTAGGTAAAGTGGGCAGGATCAGAACGTGGCCTTAAATGTGAGGTTAAGGAGTTTTGGCTTTTTGTGGGATGGGGTGGGGCTCAGGATTGAACCTAGGTTTGCTCTACCAATGGATTACTCCCCACTCCCTCTTTTTTTTTTTTTTTTTTTTTTGAGACAAGGTCTCACTGAATTTCTCAGGTGGGGCTTGAACTTGTGATCCTCCTGTCTCTGCCTTTTTTTTTTTGTCTTTGCCTTCTTAAGTGCTGGGTTTATAGTTGTGAGTTACCATTCCCAGTTAAACTTTGGCTTTTCTTCTTTATGCTGGAGATTGAACCCAGAGTCTTTACGTTGAGGTACATTCCCAGCCCTTTTTATTTTTGTTTTGAGATAAGGTTTTACTAAGTTGCTGAATTGCTCAGGCTCAAACTTGTGATCCACCTGACTCTTACGTCACAGTACTGGGATCACAGGTGTGTGCCACCTTATGCAAAGGTTAATTTGGCCATGATATGAATTAGAACAGATGAGAGAAACAGAATGAAAACCACTTAGAGCCAAGTGTGGTGGCACACACCTGTAATCTCCACACTTGGTAGGTTGAAGCAGGTGCAGCACTGTAAATTCAAGACCAGTCTTGGCTATATAGTGAGTTCAAGGCCAGCCTGAACTACACAGCATGACGCTGTCTCCAAAAAAATCAATAAAAACAAAAAATAAGCCTGGTGTGCTGATGCACACCTGTAACCCTAGGACTTGGGAAGCTGATGCATGAGGATCACTGCAAGGTTGAGGCCAGCCTGGGCTACGAACAGAGTTCAAGGCGAGCCTGAACTGCATAGTGAAACCCTATCTCAAAAAAGACAAAAAAAATTAAAAAATAAAAACCACTTAGAAGCTACTGTCTAGTGGAAAAGTAAGATAGAGTCCAAGAATATATATTTGTTGAAAGAAAAATTTTATCATGTTTTACTGCCTGTAAAATTATGTAGGGCATTGTACTAAAAGCAAATGTTTCTTGAAAGATTTATATTAATCTCATAATCATATCTATATTCCAGAAAAGCATTAGATTTGAATCTGGAAGCATCAGTAGCTGAGATGAAGGACTATATAACAAAGTAAGTGAAAATGAGTGAACCTTTGTTGGAAAATCTAAATTCACTTTCCATCTGGGGAAGATAAACCTGGGAAAAATTAATAGTAAACATAATATTCAGTGCTAGTGAATCAGCACTGAAAATTAGAAGGCTGTATATTGAGATGTTCAGAAGTTCTGTGATGACTAATTTCTTAGGACGGTGTCTAAGGGATAAAAGTGTTAACTTGATTTTAAGAACTCATGTTTTATTTGATTAAATTAATACCTCTGGCTGGGCTTGGTGGCATATGTCTGTAATCTCTGCATTTGGGAGGCTGAGGCAGGAGGATCACCGTGAGTTTGAGGCCAGCCTGGGCTACATAGTGAGTCCAAGGCCAGCCTGAAGTACATAGCGAGACCTGGTCTCAAAAAATAAATAAATAAATAAAATTAATAAAATTAATAGCCTCTGGATCAGTCAAGATTTCTAATCCTTTAATGACCTCTGTGTACATTTTTATAACCAGCTTATGTGCCTAATGTACTAAGTTGTTCAGAATGATGTGATCTAAAGTTACTTGGGGCGGGGGATGTAGCTCAGCAGCTAGCGCCTGCCTGGCAAGCATGAGGTAGTGAGTTTGATTCCTGGTGCCAAAAATAAATAAGTAAAAATTATTTAACTTAAGCTGGGCATAGTGGTACACCCTATAATCCCAGCACTTGGGAGGCTGAGACTAGAGGAGCTCTGTGAGTTCTAGGCCAGCCTGGACTACACGGCAAGACCATATCTCAACCACCACCCTACCCCTGCAAAAAAACTTAACTGAATTTTTTCTTGGATGCTGTAGGTTCTCTTTAGAACAGAAGACTTGGGATCAGCTCTTGCAGTGCTACCAGAAAGAGGCACTACCAGAAGAGACATCCAGGTTAGAGCTGTGAAATGGAAATAAAAAGCTATCTTTTTAACATTGTGAAATTTGGTTTGAGTTTATTTCGGTTCTTGGTAGCACAGATTGAATGATGAGTCCTTACTCACAATGTAGTCACCTTACCAAGACTCTGTGTATATTAGTACTCTGACCGTAAATGGAGCACGAGTGAGAAGGAAGGGAGAGTTGGTAGGACTGTTTTCAGTGTTAGAACAGAATTACCTCTTCTGTGTCCTTGGCTGCTGTTTCACATCCTCAGGAAGACAGTACATTTCTGCCTTGCACTTGGCCATCTGGGGCTGGCCCAAGAACTGTAGTCAAGAGACACATGGCTTTTTTTTTTGAGACAGGGTCTCACTATGTAGCCCAGGCTGGCCTTGAGCACGTGGCAGTCCTAGTGCTGGGATTATAGGCATGTGCCTCTACCCCCAGCAGTACATGGCCTTTGAGCTGCAGAAATGAGAAGACCTCTGGCCGTGGCCTTCATGGAGTCACAAATACATAGAAGAGACTGGTAGGGGAAGGTATAAGTAAAAGAGGACTTTTTTCCTTTTAACCTCCAGCACCGCCCCCTCCAGGGAATAAACTCTGGGGCTCATACATACTAGGCAGGTGCTCTACCACTAATCTATATACCTAATCCCTTTTATTTTCAGTGAGTTCACTATGTTGATTAGGCTGGCCTGCAGCTTACAATCTTCCTGCTTAATCTCCAGGTACCTGGAATTATAAGTGTGTACCACTATAGTCAGCTAAGAGAGGATCTTAGTCTTAATCTTGGAAGCAGAGGAAAATAGGGAAGTGCTAGATTTGGTTTAGTGGGCATCTGAGCTAGTAATTTGAAGTCTTTTTTCTCCCAACAGAATCTTAGCCAAAAACCCAATTATCAAAAAGTAACCACAACTTTAATTGCAAAAGTGGCTTCACAATGCTGGGGATGTGGCTCAGTGGTGGAGAGTGCTTGCCTAGCATGGATAAGGCCCTGAGTTCAATCCCCAATACCACAAAAGAAAAAAAAAGTGGCCTCACAGTAGAGGAGGGCTTTAAGTAACCTGATTTGAAAATCTTCCGCACTCCAGGGAGGAATGGGCATCACTTACTTTAGTCACTTCATATTTATGAAATTGATAATGTGTAAGATGGGAGTTTCAAGCTGGGAATAGTGGCTCACTCCTATAATCCCAGCTACTTAGGAGGCTATGGCAGGAATTGGAAGCTTGAGACCAATCTGTGCAATTTAGCAAGATCTTGTCTCAAAATAAAATTTAAAAAGCCTGGGAGCTGGGCGTGGTGGCACACACTTGTAATCCCAGCACTCGGGAGGTTGAGGTGGGAGGATAGTTGCAAATTCGAGACCAGCCTGGGCTACAAAGTGAGCTCAAGGCCAGCCTGAACTGCATAGTGAGACCCTGTCTCAAAAAGACCAAAAAAAAAAAAAAGCCTGGGGATAGCTCAGGGTAGAGTCCTTGTCTTGTACGCACAAAAGCCCAGATTGAGTCCCCTGCTTTGTACACATACACACACAATTAAGGCAGCTTGAGAATAAAAGCTTTGTGGCAAAGTTTATAGATTAAGAAAAAGCATCTTAAAGTCCACTATCTCTGTTCATATCCTGACCTGATTACCTACTCCTGAGTTTTATGACCTTCAGCAAATCACTTAATCTATGGAATGTACGACTCCTTGTTTGAAAATAGGGATGATGGCAGTACCCAGCTCACTGGGTCATCATATTAATTGATGTTAAATGGACTGTGGCCAGCAGCAACTTTAAGCATCTAAGAAGCACAGTAAATTGTAGTAGTTACAAAAAGATTGTCATTTTTTATGACCTCTCCATCATAGCAGTTTTTTTAGGTAACTGAGGTAGATCAGCATTTATTTTGGTAAAAATGATCATAGACAGTGATTTGGATAGCAAGCTTTGGCCTCGCTCTACCCCAAGTGTAGTCTCTTTTGTATGTGGACCATGCTTGTTAAGTAGAGTTAACTGGGTTGAAGGTTCTAGCATTTCCCAGAGTCTCGTGGTATAAAAACATTAATATTAGGTGGGCACAGTATCACATGCCTGTAAGCCCAGCACTCTGGGAGGGTAGGAAGTAGGATTGCAGGGTTGAACCCAGCCTGGGCAATTTAGCAAGACCCTGTTTCAAAATAAAAAATATTTAAAAATAAAAAAAAAATACTAAAACGGGCTGGAGATGTAGTTCAGTGGGAAGGCCATAGGTTCCATCCCTGGTACTACAACAAATAGTAATACTGAGTCACTATGTCAGAACCTCTTAGCAAGGTGAAGCTCAGTGGTAGAGTACTTACCTAGCATGTGCAAAGCCCTAGATTCAATCCTCAGCACACCAAAGGGCCTGGGAGTGGCTATACCTAGAGCAGGATAGGAGGCTATTGATTCAGCTTCATAGGAGGTTTTCTTCAGAAGTGATCTTTGATATCTTTTTCATAAAATGATCATAAAATTCTTTGAAATCTCTTTTTTGTTTGGATTTTAGAGAATCAACTGAAACCAAAATTACTGAAGTTAAAGTGGAACCGACATACCTGAGATCTTCCCAGAGTAAGGTTCTTGACACAAAGCCTGACTACCAGAAAATATTACAGAACCAGAACAAAGTCTTTGATTGTATGGAGTTGGTGGTAAGTTGGCTCAATGTTATTTGCTTAAGCTGTCCAGGTTTGCTACCTTTTCATTTGTGTTAGTTTTGTATCTCTGACAAAATACCTGAAGTAACCACTTTATAAGAAGGAAATGTTTATATTGGCTCACAGTTTTAAAGGTTTGCCTTGGACCTGTGCATGGGCATTAAATACCCTCAGTCAGTTTCCTTCCACTAGGGCTTCTTCATGGCAGTACCCAAACAGAACTAGACCGCATGGCATTATGCTGGTAGGAGTCCTAGAGTCAGCCTTCTGGGGCATAGAGCTGGTAGGTGAAAAAATGAGGTGTGGCTCAGGAGGAACCAATAGAATGTCTGGCATAAGCATTCCAGACTGAAAGGACAGTAGGCCCAATGTTCCACTCTGCGCTTGGGAAGAAGCCTGCCTAAAGGATTTGGGGAACTTCAGGGAAACCAGGGAATCCTGAAGATTAAGGCTATCTTGTCTGCAGATAGATGAGCTGCAAGGATCAGTGAAGCAACTGCACGCTTTTATGGATGAAAGTACCCAGTGCCTCCAGAAGGTGTCAGTACAGCTTGGTAAGTGTGTCTCTTGAGACCAGGGCTTGGGCTGTTAGATCTGTTAGCCTTTGAGAAGCATGTGTTCCTGAGGGTAAGACCTACAGGAGATGATTTGTTTTTCTCTCCATAATAAGGAGTATGTTGATGGGAAATTTCTAGACACAAATTCCAAAAGCACAGTTAAAGTGAGAATTAAATCCCCACGAACTCTGTTGTTTTAGCAAATTCAAGACTTTAAAAATACCCACTACAGCAGGGCATGATGGCACAAACTTACAGTCCAGCAGTCAGGAGCCTAAGGCAGGAGAATCTGCACAAGTTAAAGGACAGTGTGGAATACATAGCCATTTCCTATCTCCAAGCAAAAAAAACAAAAACCCACTGTCTTTACCTCTTAAATTTTCAAGAATCAGCAACCACTGACATAACTGCTTTGTAGCTTTTCCTGACCTCCTCCAGCCCTAAATGACTTGCTCCACATGCCTTTACTTTCTTATTGCATCGTACTGTAGTAGCTGGCTTCCCTGTCAAGACTGCCATCTCCTGGAGGACAGAGACTTAATTTGTCATTGTAATGCCCTTCACCACCTGGCACAGCACCCACACAGTTTTCAATAAATTTTATGTGAATTCAATTAAAATTCATTTGTTTGGCTCCTTTTTTTTGCAGAGAAAAGAAGCATGCAACAATTACATACTTCACCTGCCCGAAAACTGCTCAGACTTCAGTTACAGAACCCGCCTACCCCTTACTGCTCCGGATCTTATCAGTGACCTTGCTCAGCTTTTCTACCACAAGATGTTCAGAGGGTAAAACTGGGAAGACTTCCCCGGCATGTGGTGACTGCGTGGCAGTCCGAGCCGGGGGGCTCTGTTCTTTGCTTTTAAGGGTAACTTCCTAGCTGTAAAGCACTTCATCTTTTTTGAGTGATAGAATTTATGCATACAAAAGAACATTGCCAAGACACTTCCTAGGAATGTGCAAAATGCTTGAAATTTCCTTGTGAGGTCACGTTCAAGACCAGTGGCCCATTCTTTTTAAATACCCTTCATGGTCAGATATCTTATCTTACAAAGATATTTTTCAGGTTTTGAAACAACCCAAAGTCAGCCGGGTGAGGTGGTGCACGCCTGTAATCCCAGCACTCCGGAGGCCGAGGCAAGAGGATCGTTTAGAGTTTGAGGCCAGCCTGGGCTACAAAGTGAGCTCAAGGCCTGCCTGAACTCCATAGCGAGACCCTGTCTCAAAAAACAGGAAAAAAAAAAAAAAAGACACTACATAGACAGCTGGCTTGATGTGCTAGTAATCACATACAGGGTGCCAGGAAAAAGAGGTCAATCATATTAATTGTTTTAAAAAAGAAAATCTTTCATTTTCTATGGAGTGCTTGGAGAACCCAGTATTTTTTGTGTGTATGTGTGTGATGCTGGGGATTGAGCTCCAGGGCTTTGCACATGCAAGGTCAGTGCTCTGTTACTGAGCTCTTACCACCAGGCCTTTAACTGTTCTTTTAATTGTTAATAATCTGCATTATAAAATTACATGTAATTAAGGTTTTCCTTGTGCGTTTGTGTATTGAGTCTATACAGTTTTTTTTGCAGTGCTGGGAATTGAACACAGGGACCTCAGGTATGCTAACAGTGCACTCTACCACTGAGCTACGCCCTTAGCCCCTAACAAAACTTAAATGCAGAGAGCGTTTAGAAAATAAAGTTCTGTGCTGAAATAAGCAGTAGTGTAAACGTAAGTCTCACCACCTATAGCCAATAAAATACCAACTAATTTTTTGTTAATGTTTTCTATAGTTTCTGCCTATTAATGGGACAAAACCCATTTCATTTAATTTCCTGTTTGCCCTGAGAATATTCGCTGGCTGCATTTACCCCACGATAACTCATGAGTTATATTCCTAATCACACCTCCAAGGTTTGCTACAAACTATCTTGCTGTTACTATTTTCACATTCCTCCAATATATCACTAGTTTTTGGAAACAAAAGACATTCTATTTATAGCATTCTGTTATGATGGTATTTATATTACAGGTAGCTAAGTTAGGTAGAAATATAGTCAGACAGGGCTAGGCCTTCAAGATGGAGGGACATAGGCCCGGTCATTCTGTCTTTATCTTAAGGTTTGGCCTTCAAGATGTACTTATGGACTGTACTACCTGAACTGCATAGTGAGACCCTGTCCAAAATGTAATGTGAAAATAATAAGATGAAAACACATAACACCTGTAATACAAAAGATGAAAACACATAACACCTGTAATCCCAGCACTTGGGAGGCTGAGGTGGGAGGATTGTTGTAAGTTTGAGACCAGCCTGGACTACAAAGTGAGCTCAAGGTCAGCCTGAACTGTATAGTGAGGCCCTGTCTCAAAAAGACCAGAAATAACCCTACACATTATAACTGGCCAGAAGTACATCTGTTGGAGGCCAAGTCTTAACATAAAGACAGAATGACCAGGCCTACGTGCCTCCCTAAGGGATAAATGGTAACATCTGGTCCAATAAAATCTAGATAGACGTCAGTCACTTCAGTGGGTGGCCAAGACCCCCAGACACATCCCTTCCTGAAAAGTTGTGTTTTCTTTGGTCTTTTTGGACAAGGTCTCGCTATGCAGTTCAGGTTGACCTTGAGCTCACTTTGTAGCCCAGGCTGGTCTGGAACTTGCAATGACCCTCCTGCCTCAGCCTCCCGAGTGCTGGGATTACAGGTATGAGTCACCATGCCCAGCTAGGTTCTTTGTTCTTTTCATGTACACTTGCTGCATGACTTGGTTCTCCATTGGATCAGTATTTCTTAAGTGGCTGTACTTAGTGGTTGGTCGTAGTTTTGTCTCATGTCGTGCCCACCTCGTAATTTTGCTCTATAAAACTTCCTCTGTGAAGTCGGCTCATTGGGAGACCACTTGGGACTTCTGTCTCTCTCAGGAGCTATGGCTAAATATTTCCTACTCTGTTGTTCCTTAGAATTAACTCTTTGATTTTGGGGAGCATGAACACGGTGTATCTGACATCTGGCAGGTTGGGAGTTACATTTCCCTGGTAACATTCGGAGGTCTGATATCATTCCTATGTCATTTATATTCACAAAATAGAGTAATTCTCAATCACTGAAAATGTCAAATCCTAGAAGACTTTGCGTTCCTCAAAGAGCGTGTTTATGTAAAGGTAAATGAACCCTGGCAGTGTGCTGCACTTTTCCTAAATGGGAAATGGGTTAAACAACCAGTCAGAATCTTAAAGTATTTAACCTTGGCCCAAGCACCTGTTGGTGAGAGGCTACACCTCCTTACACTGCACTTTATTCATTCAGACCTTACTGTGTCCCTGCTGCCTGCTGGGCACAGTTCTGGGAACTGAGGAGAGCAGGGAACACAGGCACAGGATCTCCGTGATGCTTACAGTCTTCTGAGACACGAGGAACACAGTGATACTGCCATCTTGGGAAGGATGAAGAAATGGAACAAGTATTTCAGGCAAAAACAGCATTTTCAGGGGCTGGGGATTTAGCTCAGCGGCACAGTGCCTGCCTGGCAAGCGCAAAGTTGTGAGTTCAATTCCCAGTACCGGGGAAAAAAACAAACAAAACAAAACAAAAAAACCCCAGCATTTTCAAAGGCTCGTGAGGAGAGTGGAGCATTCTGAAGCACTGAAAAAAGACGTAGGAAGCAGAAATGCTAAGCACCAATGAAGAGTGGCCTGAGAATTGGAAACTGAAAATAATTAGAAGGCTTAAGAAGACAGTAAGCCAGGCATGGTGGTGCACGCCTATAATCCCAGCACATGGGAGGCAGAGACAGGAGGGTTTTTTTGTTTTTTGGATTTGTTTTGGTTTTGGTTTTTTGAGACAGGGTCTCACTATGCAGTTCAGGCTGAACTTGAATGTGCTATGTAGCTGTGGTTGGCCTCACACTCACAGCAATCCTGCCTCTGTCTCCTGAGTGCTGGGATTTCAGGCATGCTAGACAGAATTGTTGAGTTTAAGGCCGGCCGAGGCTACATAGTGAGATCCTGTCTCAAAAAAAAAATGATTAGAACTTTCCTTTTTTGTGTGTGTGGTGCTGTGGACCAAATGCTAGGCCTGGCACACATTAGACAGGCTGAGTGTTCTACCACTGAGCTGTTGCCCCAGCCACAGGGCTTTATTTTGAAAAGGTCACTATAATTGCTGTGTGGATAATAGAAGCTAGCAAGGTATATATGTGGGAGACCAGTTAGGCTACTGCAATAGTAGAGGTGAGACTATTAGGTACTAGATGTTGACAGTGGACGAGGGGGTATGAGTCCCAGTGCTGCTCATGGTGCCCAGAACATAGGTAGATGACCTATGTGTTAAAAACCCAACTCTCCTACTTCCCAATTATAACTGAGAAAGTCATTTAATCTTTTTATCTGTAAAGTGGAATGATAAAATTTATACTACAGAGATACTGTAAGGATTCGATTAAACAATACAAGTTTAGAACAGTGGTACCAATTTGTTGCTGAGGATAAAAGCTTGAACAGCTAATGAAATAAGTTACTAGTTTAATTTGGGATACCAAATGGAGAATTCTTCTAGACTGTCCAATGTACAGGTGGAGAAGTGGGTAGAAAAAATCAAACTAGAGAGAAAAATTGTTAAGTCTAATTATTGAAGGCTAGAATGGGTGATACTGTCCAAGTAGAACAAGAATGGAAATTTTAGTCTCTAGGAAAGCCAGTGTTTAGGGACTAGGGATATAGCTCAGTGTCAGAGTGCTTAGTGAGCCCTGCGTTTGATCCTGAGGATGGCAAAAAAGTAAATAAAACCTAACGTTTAAAACTAGATGAAGCCCAGACTGGTGTGCCTAGTGTGTGATCCCAGCACCTGGGACCTTGTTACGGCTTATAGCGAGGTGCACTTACAAGTGGGGCTCTTGGAAGGTGACTGGATCATGGGTGTATAATACTGGCCTAGTCTACTAATGAGTTTATAGCTGGGTAGGAAGTGAAACCTTGAGGTGAGTGAGGGACCTGGGATGGCATATATCCCTCCCCTCTTAATGGCTGCTGCTTCCTGCCTGCCATGCCATAAGCTCTTTCTCCCCTGCCATTTTGCTCTGCCATGCCATGCTACCTTGGAGCCAATAGAGACTATGGATTAAAAACTCTACAAACTGTAAGCCAAAATAAACTTTCTCCAAGATAAACCTTCTCCAAAATAAACTTTCTCCTGTGGATGTTGGGTATTTTGTTTCAGCAATGAGAAACTAAAAGGCTGAGGCAGAAGGATCTTGAGTAGAAGGCCAGCCTCAAAATATAAAGAATCAAAAGAATGGTGTCAGTTGCCTACTGTTTCCGAAGCATAGTATAATGGAACGTTTAGAGTGAATCTAGATCTCATCCTCAATTCCTCATCTGTAAAGTGAGGACAGATTACCTCTATTCGAGGTTTGTAACTTTACCCAATTATTACATTGTATTGCAATTTTTGTTTATGAGTATTCACACTTGAGGATTGGAAGTGTTTGGTGTTTTCAGCTGAACAGGATAGAACATAGATAATATTTCTTGGGCCCTAAGTATTGTTTGGTCCTTATCAGAACTTTATGAGATAGCCAAGCCTGGTGGTGCACACCTGTAATACTAGCACTTGGGAGGCTGAGGCAGGAGGATCACCATGAGTTTGAGGCTAGCCTAGGCTACATAGTGAGTTAAAGGCCAGTTTGGACTATATATCTCAGTCTGTGGTCTCCTAACACACCCGACCTCAACTCTGTCTCAAAACGAAACAAAACACCTTTATGAGATCGTTTCTATTTTGTTAATATAGATGAGCAATTCAGGGACAAGGAGGTTTAATCATTAACCCCGAGTATCGCATAGATAATAGAGGGTAAGGTAGAACCAATACGGCACTGAGTAAATGTTAATAAATATAAATCATAATAAAAGGCTGTGCTCAATGTTAATTTTTCATATACCCAGATTTGGTTCAGGAATGGTGCCTGAAGAATAACAAATTAATGCTGCCCTCTGAGATGATGGTTGCATTGATTTGTCCCATTTGATCTAACTTAGAGAATAACCTTTAGTCAGTGATCCTTAACATTAAAGACGCAATAGAGTTAATAAGCTCTTTAGGGTAAGGGACTGTGTCCTGTGTATTCTGGCGTTGAACTGTTGGGTTATTAAGCTTCATGTGTGCAGTGATGAGCGGAGGGATCCACTTCTGCGCTCCAGACAGCAAATGCTGTGGCCGGTAGTGATGGAACCGTGGGAGGGGAAGGCGACACAGTGTAAAGGCGGACTGACAGCGAGGATCTTAGACCAGCCTCGGCATCATAACGAGATTCGGTCTCAAAAAAAGAAAAGAAAAAGGACTGGTAATTAGGAACTTTGCATCTCCTAAAGTCGCCGTGTTCATCAACATTTACGTCTCCGTGCCAAGCACTGTGCCAGGTGCCTTCTGACCTTGCGTAAAGCTTAAGACGTTACCTGGCTGCCGGACCCTGCAAGGGAATTTCTTGGGGGATTCCTGGTAGGCAATTCAAGGAGAACAGAGGCTGCGCCGACGTCGCACTCAACGCCCTTCCCTCCAGGCAACCCTGAATCTGACTTTCTCCGCGGACTCGCCGCAGCAAAGAAAACTACACCCAACATGGCGCCACCGGCCCCGCCCGCTCGGCCGCCATCTTCTCGGTAGTTCCCGAGACGGGCAGGCGCACGGCGCCTGCGCAGCCCCGAGAGGCCTCAGCGCGCCTGCGCGGCCGCAGAAGCTCCGCTGCCCCTCTCGCGGCTTCTGCTGCTGCTGCCGCTGCTGGTGCTGCTGCGCTGACGGCGGTCGCCCGCGCTTCAGGTGAGTGAGCGCTTCGGCTCCAGGGTGCGCGGCGTCGCATGCGGGGGCATCGCTCCCCCCTGCTCTTCCTTGTGGTCTTCTGCGCTCGGCGGGTCTCGAGGTCACACTTGGCAGCCTCGTCTGGGCCCCCGGCGCCCTCCGCCCCTCCCGATCGTCTGGGGTCTGCTCTGCTCCAGGGGGCCGGCTGCAGCGCGCGGGAGCCGAGGGGTCGAGCGTGCGCCCGCTGGCGGACACGCTGGGTCCTAGGGACCCCCTGCAGCATCGCGCCTTTTCCTCCTCCCTCCGCTGTGCAGGTGGCGGAGCTGCGCGGTCCTCGGGCTGGGCGTCCATCTGCACCCGCGGCCCCGGAGCGCAGGGGCTCGGAAGAGGGGCCTGCGCTCGCTTTGCACCCCTGCCTCCCTGGAGCAGCGGAGCGCACTTTCTTGGGGGCCTCACGACCGCCGTGTGGGGAGAGAGTCTCTTAGCCCCACTTTCTAGTTGAGGAAACTGAGGCATGGAGAGGTGAAGTGTCTTGTCCAAGGTCACGGGCTGACAAGTGGCACGGCTGTCTGTCGAACTCCGGGGCTTGGGCTCTCTGGGCCAGTGCAGTAGGAATTTGATTTTGTGCCATTATAAATTTTTGGAAATACATTTGTTATCTCAGGAGTTGCTCTTAAATGTCGTAAAAGTGGACTGCAAAAAGAATAGCTTCTCGGAGTACAATTGAGATGTTAACCGTAACAGTAGTAATGATATTAATAAGAGCTGATGTTCCTCCAGCGCTTTTTGTGTCAGCAGTCTTGCTAAGCATTTTATTAAGATCATCTCTCTTGATATTTGAATGTTTACCAATCCGGACCTTTCCTTTCCTTTGCACTAAGCCTTTTCCTGCAGAGCTGGCCTCTCCTCGCAGGGGGACGAGGAGCTTCCTGGGTTAGGAGGCGGGGAGCTCTGCTATGGTGACTTACTGGCAGAGTAGGGTACACCTTGCCTGTCCACATCCAGATTTCCCCCCAGTGCTGGCCTCTCAGTACATAATTAGACTTCCTGTCCTATCTGTCAGGGGAGTGAGACCAGAGTAGCTGGGCTGGCTGGCTTGGAGGTGACAGAGCAGATTTGGCGAGGAGTCACCTCATTTTGGGACTTTCTGGCTTTGCTCCAACGTTGGACTCGAACATTTTAATATTTAAGATAAAAAGAGAAGGCATTGACACAGTGGTGCTGAATCTTAAGTCTCCCTTGATTTGAAGTCCTAAATGAGTAGCTATAAAAGTATGTAAATGTTTTGCCCCCAGATAACTAGTTCAAACTGCCATTTTCTCCCTTGGCTTATTTTCCTTTACACTTCAGAGGCTCCCCTTCTTTGTGACGCTCTCCCTACTGGATCTTCCCAATTACAGTTGAGCACATACAACAGGGTAGAGGCCTCCTTCCTACTTGCTGGGACTTTGAGGTCAGGGACTGTCTTTGCAGCCCCAAATTCTTGGCTCATACTGGACCCTTGCTTGGTGAATTTCCACTCCTCCTTTTCATTACTGAAATGGCAGAGTTCTCTTGGTGCCCTTGTGTTCTTCCTCTCGCCCTTTAGTTTCTCTTTGCTGTCCCTTTGTTGTATAACTTTTGACCATCACCCGCCACAGAAGGCTTCCGTCCATCCTGTTGTTTCTGAAAATTTGTAGAGAAGGGTCTTGCACCGAGGAGCCTGTCTGATTCCCAGCCGTGGAGTTGGTGCATATCGCTTAAGCCTACAGGGGAGTTTTTATTTATGTGTTCCTGTAGGGTGGCCTGAGGCTCACGGCCGTTTAGCCTACCTGTAAATGCACGTGAGATTCAGTTTTACATCTTCTTGCCTTACGTGGCTGACTGTGCCTGATGAAGGCTGGAAGTCTGGATGCAGGTGGGCAACACTCACCGTGTTCTGCCCCGATGACGTCAGAGAAGTCACAGTTTTTGCTGTCTATCAGTACATGGTATTTTAAAGAAATGCAGCTTAGTAGTACATGTGTATAGTGCACGTCTGCATTCCCTGCAGGTAGTTGGCACACGTATGTAACACATCTCATTTCCTTTTATCATCCCCTTTCGCTTCCCTCCCTCTCCCTCCACCGTTCCCTTGATCACCTTCCCTTTTTTGGGACATGTTTGCAGTCTATAATGTTCACATTACTTGTGTGGAGTTCGTACATGTACTTAACACGTCCAAGTTCCTCTTTCAAAATCCCTGTCCCTTCTCTACCTCCCGCTTCTCTTCATCTCTCCATCCCTTTCCCCTTTGAGAATGCTCTGTCTCCCTGCTTCCTGTTATTCCGTTAGGACTTTGTAAAGGGTTTGATAGATTAAAAGTCAGAATTAATCAAAAAGATGAGGGGAGCATTCTGAAGCAGGGTTGATAAAACTGAGACAAGAAAACCATGCCTGTCATGTTTAGGGACAGTTTTTAAAAATGGTTTGGCTATATATTATTATTATTATTATTATTTTTTTTTTTTTTTTTTTTGTCTTTTTTTTGAGACAAGGTCTCGCCTTGCAGTTCAGGCTTGCCTTGAGCTCACTTTGTAGCCCAGGCTGGTCTCAAACTCACAGTGATCCCCCTGCCTCAGCCTCCCAAGTGCTGGGATTACAGTCGTGTGCCACCATGCCCAGCTTGGCTATATATTAGAGCAGGGGTTCTCAACTTGTATTGGTTACCTGGACAGCTTATTAGACCCTGTGTTGCTGGGAACCACCTCTAGAGTTTGTGATCAGGAGGCCTGGAGTGGGCCCTGAGAATTTGCAGTCCTCACAAGTTACCAGATGATGCTAATGCTGCTCGTCCAAGGACTACACTTTGAGATCCATTGGATTAGAAGGTTGAAAAGCTAGACAGAAACTGTCAGATTATTCCAAAATTATGTGTGCATTATAATAACATGAAAGAGTTTTGGAAAATACCCACCAAACAATAGTGGGGACTTAGGGTGTTGGGGACTTCACTTGTTGTTGTTGTTTGAGTGTTTTAATGAGACAGGGTCTTGCTTTGTAGTTTAGGCTGGCCTTGAATTCACTCTGCAGGGTTTGGCAGATTACAAAACCTCTGCAAGTCTTAGATTCTTCTTCACCTGTAAAACGGGGGAATTATAGTACCTAGTTTATAAGTGTGTTGTGAAAAAAAAGGAAATAAGGAGTGTATAAACTGCTTATCCTCGTACCTGGTATGGTGTACTCACTAAATTTGGATAGTAAGACTATTAAGGACTTTAGGGCTTTTGTTTGGCTGACCTCTGGAGATCCTCTGCCCCAGGCTCTTGAGTGTTGGGTTTCCGTGTTTGCACCACTACACCTGACATGGGGAATTCACTTTTTACTTTATACCTTTCTGTATTATTTTTTGCGCTGTACACATACTGCTTTTGTATTTTAGAAAAGAAAAAATAAGATACATGCCAAAAAAATCTTTTTGAAGATACATACTAAAATATTTATAGATTTAAAAGAATTTGTTAATCTAGTCATACAACAAACATTGTATCTATTATATGCCACATGCTGCTAGCTTCTGGAAGTACAAAGCCTTTGCTAAAGCTTGCAGTCTGCTGATCAGATTAATAGATAACAGCTCTACTTAATGTCCTGTGAGCTTCCCGAGAGCAAGGACCAGGTCTCGCTTGGCTGGTAACAGGTACTTGGTAAATGATGAATGAATGAGCAATTCAGGCAAGAAGTGAGGACAGTGGGAAGGAAAAGGCCAAATGGGAGAAGATGGTGGCGGAGAGTGTGGGCCGACAGGCTTGGACAGGCAGGAAGAAAGGAAAGGATACATCAGGAAGGCCTCTGAAGTCTGAAAATGGGTAATATTTTGGGTTTAATGCAGAATAAGATGTCACGTCATCTGTTCCCTTTTAAGAGACTGCCTGAAAAGGCACACAAATGCTACCTAGATTGAGTGTTAAGTATTTGCCAAGTTTCAGTACTTCTTTTGTAAAATGAAAAGATCTTTTTTCTTTCATTACAGGGCTAATTCTGTTGCATTTGTAATACTTACCTGCAATTGTGGCTCTTATTTATTCATGTGAAGTTAATTCATAATATGAACGTGTGGTGATGTACCATGGGACGCTGAGGCCGGTGTGTCACAAGTTCAAGTCTAGTCTAGGGAACTTAGCAAAACCCTGTCTCAAAAACTGGCTGGCATCAGGTGGGAAAAGTCGTTAACAGAGGCCTGTCCAGTCTTCAGATGCAGACTGCTTAGGTTTATATCCTTGCTCTGCTACTCAGTGGCTGTGTAGCTTTTGACAAATTACAAAACCTCTGCAAGCCCCAGATTCTTCACCTGTAAATGGGGGAAATTACAATACCTAGTTATAAGTGTGCTGGGAAATAACATGAAATAAGGAGTGGGTAAACTGCTTATCATCGTACCTGGCATGGTATGAGCACTCAATAAATTGGGCTAGTAAGAGTATTGAGTACTGTTCTTTAGGGCTTTTTTTTTTTTGTCTTTTTGAGACAGGGTCTGGCTATGCAGTTCCAGCTGGCTTTGAGCTCACTTTGTAGCCCAGGCTGATCTAGAACTTGCAATGATCCTCCTGCCTCAGCCTCCTGAGTGCTGGGATTACAGGCATGTGCCACACACCCTGGTCTCTTTAGGGCTTTTGTTTGGCCTTCACCTCATTTAGACTGTCTTAAAGAATAATCTGTTTTAAGGGGTTCTGCTGTTAGGAAACTAGAACTCATCCAAGAGTTCATATCAGGACTTTGGCAGCAGTAGCTTTCTTGGTGTCCTAAGCTGCATCCTTCAAGACTGGAAGGCAGAAGGTTGTGCTACCGGTTACTTCCGGGTGACCCCCATGTGAGAGGTTCCGCTGGTTGGTTGTCTGAGATTAACAGCAAGACACCTGGATGGTATTTGCTTAGTTATCTGTTCCAAGACTCTGGACTGAATGAAGTGAATATATAGGGCAGATTCAGATTCCCAACTTCCCAGTCTCTGCAGACCAGTTTATCACCTGCTGCCAGAACCCAGGTATGACACAGCAGGAAGG